GGACTACTTAAATTAGGCAACCAAAAGTTGCACGTGTGGCTGGTTGCACACTCACCTTGTACAAGTTATATGTAATATATTAACTAAAAACACAAATAAAGGCAGTAGCCACCGTAACATCAGCCTTAATAACAAAAAAAAAAAAAAAAAAAAGATTTATTAAATGTAGATTAATCTGCATTTAATAAATCTAAATATAGTAAATAAAAAAAATACAAATACAAATATAAAAAATTTTAACAAAGAACAATATGAAATGTTTTTTTTTTTTGTTTTAACGCCAAATTTCTAATAATGTTTTTATTATTCCTAATTGAGGTTTATTAATAAAATACTTTAAAATAAATATCATAAATAATTAAATATTAAACAAAAACAAAACAAACAAAAACTAGAAAAAAAAAAACAAAAACTACTCAAATCAAAATCAAATTCTTTAAAATGTGCTAGACCTGTGGTAGATGGTGTTGGCTTGGTATTCCTTATAGACATGGAGGCAGAGGCAGAGGCGGTGGAGGAGGATAGAGACGTCCAAATGTAATTCATCATACCAATGTCGTTTATCAAACAACCGTAATTGATCGTACAGATTATGGAAAAATTCATGAATTAGAAACCCAATTATTTGAAATGACAAAAAATAGAGACAATTGGAAAAAACAATCTGAAGAACAGAAAAAACAAGCAAACGAAATAGAAAAACAATTAAAAAAATGTGAAAAACATAAAAAAGAAGTAGAAAATAAAATTAATGAAATTATGATAACTCATCTCAATATAAGTAGAATTGAAATCGAAAAATTAACCACTGTTGGAAAATTAGACACAATCTTAAACTTAATAAAACAAGAAGTAAAAGAATGTTTAAAATTACTTGGAATCCCTTTTCAAACTGGTGATAGTTTGATCTCTATGCTTAAAAAATTAGTAAAAGCTTGTGAAGAAATTGGAATAACCGGTCCTGTTCAAGAGATGTTATTAAAATATCTAAAAATGTTGGATCCTAAAACTAAAATAAATGATCCTAAATCGTTTAATAGAAAATTAGGAGAAAGTATGGATGCTTTGCTGAAAGCTTGTTATGAAAACAGTAGAGATATTTTAAACAAAGAACGATTTGAAAATAGATCTGAGATTAGTTTTGTAAGAAAATTAATAAGATGTCATTACTACATGGTTGGGAAAAGCAACCCATTGAGTGTGAAAACGATGGCTGATAATTTTTTTAAAATAACTGATTTAGAAAGTGAAAAAATGTTTAACAGAAAAATATGGAAAAATATTATTAAAAAAGAATATGACTTGTTTCCTACTTTTAATCCTAAACATAACTATATTAATGTATTATTAAAAGATGCAAGTAACAGTAGGTGGAGTAACCCTAAATATGATGAGACTTTTTTTTACAAATTACACTATTGTTATTGGCTTTTAAATGATGATTCAATAGAACAAGGTATAAA